GGTGACTCTAGACGTCGAGCAGAGCGAGCAGAACACATGAAAAGGTGGCAAACACACGGAGAAATGAGCTATGAAGGGTGAAGGTGGTGGTCAAATCTGAGGAAGGCCCAGAGGCGGCCGCTGTGCTAAGTACATGGCTGACTAATCAAACCCTAAACTAGCTCCAAACGCGAAAACATAGGGCAGGGCCCTACACCGGAAATGATCATTTTGAAGTAAGCTCATGTTCATCTCATCCCTGTGCCACGAACTAGCCATGGTCATATCGTACCTCAGCATTGATCACTGCACACCCTGTCTCAGATCATCTATACACCCAAGGACGATCAGGCCAGATCATTGCTCTCAGAACATGTTCATTGTCGAACATGGTGTCCCCTGCAGATGATCTGCCCCGTTTATCTCGGCCCGAGTGAATGACTGGCCCTGCTCAGCCCGACCCAGGTGGACGACCGGCTCTGTTCTATCTCCCGCATACAAATGATAACTGTAGAACTGTTCCAAGCCCAGCCATGATAACGTCCTATCGTTCATCCCCTTACAAATGTTCGTCACTGCTCATCATCCCAGTCTGGGATGCTCGGTCCTGTTCTACCATGACGATTTTCTGTCATAAATTGACACTGTCCGTTCGACAAAGAAAGGGATGATCTCCGCAGACTGCACATGACCTACCTTGACCATCTGTAGTTCTGGTCCGGGCGCGTTTCGTGATGTGTCGGCTGACTATGTGTACCATTTGTACTAGTAACTCACTGGTAATCTTACGGTTTTGCATGTCATGATATTGAAATTTGAACAGTGATAGCTTGGTAGTAGGCTGTGGTAAGTGCTCGCATTGCCCGATATGCACTAAATGGAACACATGCTGCACAGTTGGTGCTACCACCTGGATATACTACTGGTTACCACTGGTATTTGTGAATAGACGCGCTCCTGGTTACAAAAGAATTAAGCTCTATCGGGAAAGCATTGACAATACACAGAGAACCACACCTCCAGAATTCAGGACCTGCGCTGCTCCACGCGAGGGTGCCTCCGAACACACAGCCGATGTCGTACCCGAGGAGAATATTGCAGGGCAACTCCGTGCTGATCTTGTCCACCATTGCGACCCCATACTTAGCGCTGGAAATGATCTGTTAGTTACGTGCCTTACACCGACATCATTACCTACAGTTCACCACTCTAGATCATATCCGCGATCCAGAGAATCCTCCCGTACCTGCACGCGCTGGCGAAGATCCCGGTCTCGTCGAACCCACCCCTCTTGTCTGCAGCTGCCGCTTTCCAATTCGTGGCGCAGGGGCTTGGGGCACCCACTTCTCCATCCGTGGGATCTCCCTCAGTGTCCAGGAAGACCGGTGCGGGCTCGGGGGCCTGGTCCAGGGCATCCCCTCCAAGATCAGTGGTCGGCTTTGGCTGTGCCTGGCGTGCCGGGACTTGCTTTGTGAACCGATTGACGAACTCCAGGCCTAGGTAGTAGGTATTCTTGTGACGTCACCGGTCCCCAACGTCTTGATACTTATGAAGGAGCCTCTTCAGAGAGTCGTTCGCGTCCATGCTGCCCATGCATTTGAAGCGGACGGGAATCTCATTCTCCAACTGTTTGAAAAGCCATCAGTGGTGCGTGCAATCGGCGCTTCTCCCGGCATGTACTGGGATGACGTACCTTGTACCCACATGGTGGGCATCTGAAGTGCGGACGCCAGTTCGGATCACCTCGTCCGAGCTTCTCCTGAATCTTGGCATCGACGTCATCGAGGACCTCCAAATAGATGTCGAAAGCATCCGCAAGTGCTGTGCGATAGTGGCGACGGTATACCATCTGGTCTCTCTAGGTAAGTCTCACCACCAATCATACAATTAAGAGACTCACATAATACTTGTAACAGACGAGCTTGGTGAAAGCCTCCGTGCTGAAGGATGGCTTGACAAGCTTCAGGCACCGAAACAGTTCCAGCGTCGCAAACGATATCACGATCGACGGCCCGATAGCGGTGTTGCCAAGATATCCAAGCAAGGCCAGTGCCTCGACCGTCCACTGGCCGGATGATACCTCTACTGTGATTTCCTTCCGCAGGCTGTACAAGTCGACACACACAACTGTGTGTGGCCCAGGCGGCGCCTCCTCGTCAGAGGGTGTGTCTTCTCCAGGTGCGCTGCGCTTGCGCTCCCCTTGCCGGCCTGAAATACCGTACTTCCACTGCAGATATGCCGCCTTCAAGCGCGGGAAAACATGCTGCCAATTGTCGTCTCGCGCGCAGAGACGATCACGCCAGGTGCGCTCATCTAGGCGCACCCTGTACATGATATGTTAGTTCTGCCCTCTAATCACAGGTCCTTGTACTCACCCTGTTGTCAGATTGTTTTCTAGAGCCATACGGAATGCCTCAACATCCGCGTCATCCGCCCAAGCATCTTCATTGTCGTTATCCTCTCCTGCCGCGACATCCGCGTCGTCTCCCACATGGCTAATGTCTCCGATATTGATGTCTTGCCCTTGCACTTCATCTATTTCAAACGCCGCCACTGCGGCTGCGCAATCTAAGCCGCTTAGATCTTCACACTGGTGAGTTTTTATCTGGCTATTGAGTTTGGAACATACTGTTGACAAGGTCGCGACACCGTTTCCGCACAGCATCGTCCACAGCATCCAGGTCAACAGTGCGGATCATCTCTTGTTTGGAGGTACGTCCACCTGGCCCTTTGTTCTTGCCACCCCTATTTCGGCTCCGTGGGCCTATGATAGTCACCCCATCTGAGACTCGGTTGCTGCCTGACTGCGAGAGAGACATGGTGGTAAGTCAGCCTCTCAATCACTCTATCGAAGGTATTATACTGTGATCATTATCGACTATCTTGATGGCGCTTCGACTGCCATCAAAAGGCGGCGTTGAGTCTGGGGCGCCCGCACGCAGCCTCGTGCTGATGGCACGGGCACCACGCACCGCATCAACCGTCTCCACGGTGCCTGACCACACGGTGCGCGCGCGCAATCAGACATCTCCCTATTCTTGGCGTTGAGTATGCTGACATAACGTCCTCCCCGCTCCATATGCGGAGGGCGGCGGGCGGCGGCGGGTGGTAGAGGTCAGTGGGGGCACCACGGTGGGCGGGTCAGAAAGGCGAGGTTTGTAAATAGATGCGCATTATCAATACGAGTACATAAAAAAAGAAACGAAGTGAATTGGACAAGGGAAAGGGGAGGGGCAGGGGAAACAGCGAGCTCGCTGTCGGGAACGGCAAGCACGGGGGCGGGGGCGGCCATCACGGGCGGGTGGCACAACGGAAGGCGCCAGCGGGCGCGGCTATCAGGGGGCGCAGCGGGGGAAGCCACTCACGTGGGCCAGAGAGCGCGGGGGAGGCTGGGCCGGGCCCTCGGGGATGTCGGGGACAAGGGGGAGAGGACTTAGGCATGTGCCCCGTTCTAACGTTTCCCAACAAGGTATCTTGATTGTTTTCCGTAGAGGCTCTACGGTTTGCAGGCTTACAGATGTTTGCAGTTACCGGAAGGGGAATCACCCGGGGGGGGTGATCCCAGATCAATTGATCAAAAAACCGTGAGGTACAGGTGAGTTCGGGATCACTATGAAGTTGGTGATCCACAAAGATCGGGTGTGTGGCGGTCATGGGTTTTGTGGTATGCTACTGACCTATGAGCAGATTCCCCACTCCATCAGCCTGATGGGGCCAGTGCGAACACCCCTAGTTCAGGTTCTGTTTGGAGAAGAAGGTATGGTTATGAATGGGCTGATGCCGCTCAAGACGCTCAAGCATTTCGCAGGAGAGGTTGTCTCCATTTTGTTCGAGCAATAGAACAGTGACCTCAGAAGGCACATCGACAAAGTCGACAAGCTACGGAAGCTAACGAGCAAGACACATAACAGTATGTGGTATTTAAACATGTGACAACCTTGACAACTAATGGCCAGTGCAGAAATCTTGAGTGGCGAGCATGTCACAGCGGTGACGCTGCAAAATTATATCAAGGACATGCATGCGCTGAATAAACACCTGGAGCCGTTCGTCGGCGAGGGTGAGTATTCAAAGCTGCGGGTGGAGACAAACAAGACACTCAGTGACGTGCACGAGTGTCTGGAGCATGACGTCAGGGCGGCATGCTTTGACCCACCGAGTGAGTGTCGCATTTGACGAGAGACTTGTGTTACTGATTGAAGTCGACAGAGGCCGCGTCCTGGTTGGGGGAGGCCATCTTGCACCTGCCCAGCCCTTCAGAGACTGCTGCGATCAAGGACCAAATGGATCGCATTGTCTACGAGGAGATCACGGTGGACCATGTCGGGACAATGCTCACCGACAATGAGCTGCTGGACTGGCGCTCTAGCTGCGAGGAGTACGAAGACTGCAACATCGAAGAGATCTGGTGGGCAATTAGCTGGCCCGCAGACCCGAACGCGCACACCCCCCTTCATCTTGTTGTCTGCGCGGCGGCATTAGCTGCCTCAAAACTCAATTGCGCCGCCAAGGCCGCCACTGCTGTGAATGCTGCTGCGGAGCATGCCAACGCTCTCTACCTTGTGGCACTGGAGGACACGGACACTGCAACACTTGCCTGCGAAGCCTCTCAGGCAGTGTCAAAAGCAAATGAGGCGAAGTCCCTTGCAGCGGCCGCAGCCGAAGCCGCCGGCGTCGCGATGGCCGAGAGCTGCTTCTGCCCCAGCACGAGTGTGACGACTGAGCCGCTACCCACCGTTCATAATGGTGTGATGCCGTACTTTGCGCACTTCATCGATGTCAAGCGCAAGTTCATGGAAGCTTCAGGCGCAAAGTGGGAGCAGCTGAAGAACGTCCTGGATTGTGTGCAGCCGCTCACGTTGCTCTGGCATTAGTATGGTGGGGTCATCTCAATCCTTGACAGGCTATTCTGTGGGAACCTGGCCATGTTGTGCAACAATGTCAGGCTCGGCAAGACGATCCAGGTGGTGGCGACGATGTGTTACCTCGACTTTGCGCACCAGCACCACCAGAAGCATGGCAAGTGGCCAGGGCAGTTCGGCAGTGAGTTTGCACGACGTTGTTTGGCCCCACTCATTCCAGATCCTTTGTAGGTGACCCGGAGAAGTATAAGCTGCAGCCGATCGCAAGCCGAGTTCATGTTATTGTAGTGCCAAACAGTCTCTCAGCGCAATGGTGGAGCGAGCTGGAGCAGGTGCTGCTCCCTCAGTTGGTGATCGTGCTGCCTTACGAAGGCACAAGCAAGGACACCAGCCACGCGCCTGTCTTCGAGGTCCTCCGCCATGTGAGGGGTGACATGCTCATCCTCGTTGTTTCTGTGACAGTGAGTACATGGTCTCTTTTGTTGTCCCGCCTTATTCAGCCTTGTATCCACAGGCTCTCATGCATGACCTCGTGACTGCCTGCCCATCAGTGCATGACTGGCAGTCATTGAACTTAGTCCTCAAGTTCCGTGAGCCGTATACCGCCAACACACTGTTCCGCGCTGACTTCACGCCCACCTCTCTCTTCATCGACGAGATGCACGACTACCGCAAGCCTGGTCAGGCATTTCGCGCAGTGTGCAGGTCATCAGAGAAGACAAAGCTGATCATTGGAATGTCCACAATGCTGGTGGTGATGAAGCCTGCAGTGAGTGACCACTCTTTATATGGGGCTATCATGCTGACGCCCTTGCAGGACTTGTGTAACCAGGCCATCCTTCTATGAGTGCTGTGGATGGACCATGCCGTCAAGGATGCTCTGCATCGCGCGTACACGAGTGCCATGCGCAAAGGCAGAGGTGCCCGTAATAACACAGTGAGGATCTCAGTCGGATGGATAGAACAACTATAATATGTACCTAATAATGCAGTGAGGATCTAGGTACAGAGTGTGAGTATTCGAATACAGTATAAGTAGTGTATAGAGACACATACCTCAGTCGGGTGGATAGAACAACTGAGGTACGAGGGACTGCGGCCGCGCGTTAAAGCCCGGACGCAACGGCGGAGAATGCTGAGGTACTGTATAGTACCTATATGCGGAAGGCGTCGTACGAGACGCCTGCGCTGTGAGCTGAACTAAGATGTATCGTACTGTAGATAATCAACAGCCCGTGGCGACAGGCTCAAGGTTGCCTCTGACATGCTCCACAATCGCATCAGCAATGTTGAGGTGAAGCGTCAAGCCAAGAGCAGCTCAGGTTCCAGTGTGGCAACCCCCTCCTCCTCACAGCGTGACCCGGCTCCAATGGATGTCGATCTGCCTGCAAAAATTTGACATGCCTGAGAAAAGGCTCACGCGGCTCACAAGGCGCTGTCAGCGGCCCGCTCTGCCTATGTCAACTTTGGCCGTCAGGTGCTCACAGGCGTCGTCATTCACCGCACGGCAAGCACAACGGATCCCGAGGGCAACGTCATTGTCAGCCTGGCACCGTACCACGAGCAGTTTCTGGTGCTCCAGGTGTTGGCGAATGAGTTGGACGTTGTTAAATCATTGACGAAGCTGATCGTCATAGGAGGGCAAGGTGGCCGCACACTAGTGAGTTTCGTATTGGCCTAAGTGTAGCGTTGGCGGTCTGCTGACTGCTACTGCACGCAGTGTAGCCTATTCAGCTCTTCCGCGAACAACCTGATGGTCCAAGGACTGTCGCCCACATGACCTCCCCACTCGCTGCTCCCCAGGGCGCAGATGTGGAGGCGGTCCTTGGACTATCAAGGGGGGGCATCAGCCATTGTGCACATGACACAGTGCACTTTGGGGCTCTCTCCTGATGGCGGTCTGAGGACCATCACCCTCGTGAGCTACGTGTGGGGTTAGTTGCCTATGCGCTGCTCCTCAGCCCACAGGCACTAGAGCGGTCCTTGGACCGTTGATGTGTGGGCGACAGCCACACAGCACGTGACATAGTGCACCCTGGGGCTCTCTCAGGTTGGCAGTCCAAGGACCCTCAAACCAGTTCAGCAGGGCACGCCAGATGCGACGCTAACTTCTGGTGGGGCTACTCACTCTGCAACGGTCCTGGGACTATCAACAACACTTCAATCCAATTTACTCCTCACAGTGCACAGAACGGATTCTATCGCGAGTCATGTGTCGCATGCTTCCACCCTCATCTCATGGGCCCCAACAGGATTGAGCCACCTGCAGCCTACATCAACAGCAAGAGCTCAAAGACCGAGATCTTTAAGCTCATGCAGTATCACCAGGCAGAACATGGGCTTGGTCTGGCCATGATTGACCCAGATGAATCCGCCGTGCCGAACACGCTCATTTCCCGCCTCAACATCGAGTGTCCCAATGGCAGCTACACAATGCGCCCAGCACCTGTGGTCACCACAGATGTAATACAATCCCCCAGGTACCTGGGAAGTCCATTATGCTGAGGCCCACCGCGTTTTCATTGTAGAATACCCTAGTGAAGCAATAACAATAGCAGGCCTGCAAAGGCCTGTAATACTATGTATGTGTTGTGTTATTATTACAGCTGCATCCCCTGGCTGTCAAAAGTGAAATATCTAATCACAGCACTTCTTCTATCCTGTTATAACCAACATATCTAATGACAGGACACCCTCTGGGCTGTTAAAAGCGAAATATCTAATGACAGAGCCTCCCCTGGGCTGTTAAAAACAGAATTCTTAATGACAGAAATTTCTCTAGGCTGTTAAAAGTGACGTGGAGTTATTGTTACGGACACCATGCAGATACCTACCTTTTTCCTCCTTTCTTCGTCATCTCCGTCTCAGACCATGCCTCGTGCCCTTAGGGGCTACTGTACTACTACCCCTGTCTCTGCCTCATGCTGCTGTGCAGCCTCGCTCCGGACATGCACGTACCTCATGGCAGCCTCACGATGTCCTACCTCCTTACACCCTGCAGCCATGATTTGTACTGACTCGTATGGACTCATTGTATACGTACTGTTACCTCACCCCTCGCGCACCGTGGCCTTGAGGCCTTTGTACTTATAAGAGGGACGACGCAGCATAGCGCTCCCTATCTTTCGACCTCCTTGTCTAGCTACATCCCTCTGGCCTAGTGCCAATACATCTCTCTTGCTTGCCTTCTACCTCGCTCGCTAGCCGGTCCACTCAATAGTGCACCATGCTCACTTGCGTCGGCATCAAGAGATTTCCTACGGACATAACCACCTGGCGTCTAGGCCTCGTTCCCGACGGAACTCGGACTTCGATGTAACAGTTATCACAAAGCCCTTTTGGGCTGTTAAAAGTGATCTTTGTAATGACAGAACCTCCCCTAGGCTGTAATAACTGACGCCAGAGACCCACTAGGACCCACTGGGACCTACCTAGCTATAAATAGCCAGGTGCAGGTAGTGCTACGGGTGGGCATTCTGGTTGGTATAATGGGTTGGAATTGGGGTAAATAGGTAGCTGCAGGTGACTATAGCTGGAATGGTGCATTTAGGCTGGTCTAGGCAGCTAGAATGGGGGGCAATAGCTGGTATTTACCTGTAAATACCCAGCCTGGGGTGCAGCACAGGGCTGGAATATCATCAGGCAGTAGGTATCAATCAAAAGGGGCATCAAACAAGAACCCAAGAGCATGCTGATCGGAGCAGTATTGGTGGAGATATGGATGTACCGCTGTTTTGGCCGATGGGGGCATTGGCTAGAATTGGGAATTGTGGATGGAATCCCCTGGTTCTTGTTTTATAATGTGCGGATTGCCTTCTAATGAGTGGGATTGAAGTCCGATCGGGGAACCACCACCTGGTTCTGGATTAGATTGCTGTTTACCCTTCAGCCACAGCACTTTTGATCCCCCAATAGCCACCCCTCATATTCTTCGATAAGTGTTCGGTTTTTTGAAGCCTTCTCTTCTACCCTAAGGTATGCCCATCACAGACTTGACTACGTGTGATTCGTGTGACACATCACATGCAAGTGACCAATAAGTCCTCGCCAAGTCTGGCGTCAATGCTAGCATTAACGCGCATCATGCGCGACAGTCTACATACGAAGTCTCCGAACTGTACAGTAGAGTAATAGTGCTATAAACAACTATGATGTGCAATGGAGAGATTAGGAAGGTTCTGAAGCAGTGGAAATGGACCGTGAGATGAGAGACACTGCAAGCGACAAGATGCACAGTACAGTGGCACCTGAGGGGCTCGGGACCCATTTGACCATGTGGGAGTCGTGATAGTAGCGAAGGTGAGCTCGAGCCACACTCGAAGGTCATTTATGGGCTGAGGTAATTCGTTCACATGCAGGTCGTAGGTGAGCAGGCTACGACAATCTTCATCCACCAAGACATCGGAGCCAACTCAGGCTCGCCACTTCCCCCAGTGACAGACCTCGCCCGGTGTTGTGCAAGACTCAAATCATTGCTTGCCACAAATGCTGGGGCAGCACCGTCACCGTAGTGCAACGTGCCTTGGAGGGGAGCCGAGAGAGCATCATCAAGACCTTTGATAGTAGAAGGGCTGCCTAGGGGAGACTACATCAAGACACCCTTTCATGCAGGCCCAGGCTTTTGCTGCACTCTTGACACGCTTGTAAGCCCCAGCCTTCCATTCCGGCATCCCCTTGCACCCCACGACGGTCCACAGAACAGGCAACAAGCGACATGGGCACATCATAATATTTCTTATTTACCTCTTACCGAGCAGGATATTCAATAGTATACTATCTACACTGTGGATACATCGTCTGTGTATAATCAAGCTTGATAGAAGGGTGAAGGGACACGATAAAAACATAACTATCAAGAGACATCGAGTGTGCGGGGGGAGCTCTAGTATCCTATCGATTTACTCTCACGGGCCCCGCAGAACTGGCCGAAGCGTGACACTTCCAGGTTATGTGATGTAGTCGAGTCTGTGCTGGGCATACCTTATTAAAAATGGATCTAGGTATTGTTTTGATGTGAACCACTATATGTGGCTCCCTGCACAGCTGTGTGTATTTTCACCTCCTACGCTACCTTGCCCTGCGCGATGAGATCCGCAAAGATTGAATTCATCAGCGCTTGGAAGGTGGCTAGTGAATTGGTGAGCCTGAAGAACATAACCTTGGGTTTGAACAACCCTTGGTTAGTGACGAAGGCAGCCTTCTATTCATCACCCTTCTTGATCTGGACGTTGTGGTACCGCACGTCGAACTTGGTGAAGTACTTTGCTTCTCGCAGCCGATTCACAATGTCTGAGGTGAGAGGAAGCAGATAGCGGTTCTTGACGGTGACATCGTTCAGCTTCCGGTAGTTCTGTACTAACCGGAGCTTCCTGTCCTTCTTCTTGACAAAGAAGACTGGAGACGCCATGGGGGACTTAGAGGGTGTGATGTATCCCTTGCGCATGTTGTCCCCTAGGAACCAATCAAGCTCCTCCTGCTCGTTCAGAGGCATAGGGAAAACCTTGGAGCGGATTGACTCAGGTGCATCAGGCTTGAGGTTGATCACATGGTCGTACGGTTTCAACTCAGGGAGACGCTCTGATTTGACCTCAAAGAACACCTTAGCGTGGTGTCGATACTCCTGCGGGACCATCTCCTTGAACGTCTTCTGAGGTTTCCCTTTGTTGGCAGCCTCTGCTAGCTGCGTCGAATAGGTGTAACCTGCCACACACCACACTTCCTCCCTCGCATCCTTCAACACTCCTGCCTTCTACCACCATCGCTGTGCCCGGTTCGCACTGATATGCTGTCGTGCACCAAACAGGGTTGGTACTGGGCTAGGCGAGATGCACATCAAATCAATCAAAG